GTGCAGATTTATGCAACCCTCCCCTGCCGCCCCCTCCTTTCCCCTTCCTCCTCCTTCATGTTCAGCCAGGCTCACTGCAGCCCTCCAATGCAGCCACCCCGATGTCAGACCCCCTCCCCGGGCGGGCGGGGACAAATCAATGGCATTTATAGAAACCGGTGACACGAGAATGCTTCTTGTTTTTCGTCCTTCCCCCATCAAAATAAACAACGCCCCGCTTCCTAGGCTTGTAAAGAAATATCCCTGCCCCTCCTCCGATGACACGGGTGGGGCGCAGAGTAAGGAGCGATTTGGGAGGGGAAGTGCCCGTGTCCGGCAAATGGGGTTGGGGGGGAAAGAATCACGTTTTCTTGGGACTATCCAAAGAGACGTTTCTAACATCGGTCGTTGTATCGGGTTATTGGACGCGGAAGATTTTATGGCGAGCTCTCATCGTGTGTTGCGGGGGGGAAAATTACATTTAAATCCCGTCCGATCAGAAATTTCCCTCGCCTCGGATCGCAGGAAGTGGTATATTTTAAAGGGAGTAGGGAGGTAAGACCAGTTATACACCAAAGATACCGTCGGGCCCCACTACTGCTCCCACACGCTGGCTCCTCATGCACTCGGCTAAAGCAGAGGAAACATGTCCTGAAAAGCGACGGCGACGTTTGTACAGGGAAAGGGTTGAAACCAGGCATACAAACGTCCGAACAAGTTAACAACAGAAGGTCCTCCTCACATTCTCAGTGGCACCGGAGGAAAGCTGATCCTCCCCGTCGAACTGGCCCCTTCGGCTCCAAATCCAAATGCCGCCGGACCTCTTTAAGTCAATGTCCCCCGAACAGCGTCCTCGCATCCTGCACTCTGTCGGGCCCAGAGGAGAGCCTGTTCTTTCCAGCCAGTGAGAAATTCCCCTTCAACTGGAATCCCCCCCCTCTGTGTGTGTGTGTGTGTGTGTGTGTGTGTAGTTAGGACGCGGCAGCCTTTCAGTTTTATTACAACTTATTGAGTGAAAACCCTGTGAACTTTGACTTCGGCGTATTTTTTCAACGAGAGACAAACAGGGGGAGAGAGAGAGAGAATGTAATGCAGAAATATGTAATAGAAAACCCTACATGTACAATTTGGCTAGACAGGAAAGCGAGATGGAATGTTTCTGTTACTTATTACCGATCTTTATTGACCTTTCCGTTCTGTACGGTAAGTATCTCAGCGGTAATAAGCTAAGCGTCGGGCGCTAACTTTGAGGTCCAATCACGTGGAAACGACGTTCATGGGCATCAGTCCGTCTCACTTCAGAGTAAGAGTCTATGGGACCAGGAAATGAGGGGCAGGCTATCTATATACCTACGGCCCTAAGTATACTTGAGCGTCTTTGATATCAATGGGATTTTTCTATCAAGTGGTTACTGTAGGACCAGGCTGTGAACGAGACACACGCGCGCCTACACAGCGTACAGCTAGACATAGTTTTCCAGATCCACAAGTCAGTTAAGCCGGAGTATTTTGATTGGGTCCCTAGAACAGGCTTAAAGAGAAAGTTTGTTGTGGTGTTTTTTTTAAAAAAAATAATTGCTTGTAAAGCAAAAGCCACCCCCCTCCCGAGAGAGAGAGAGAAAGAGAGAAGCACACCGCCCTACAAGGAAGGATACAGATTTTCTCCCTCTTGAGAATTCCTGACTGTGGTAGGATGATGGTTGGTACGAAAGGCAAAGAAAAAGGTCAGCATTCAATGTATCCCTATGAGGTCCGAGTTTCGTATGGAGAGCCTGATATTCTACACTCTACAGTATACCCACAATCTTTCAGACGAAGAATGGATTCACAGACAAACCTGAGAGAGTTCAATTAATCCTTTCTTATTTAAACAGCGTATGAGATTACAGCACATGCCGGTCCTGGGGAGTCAGGGTTATTTACAGGCTAACGGAGTGGGGAAACCCACCTCGTCGGACAATAGCAGGCAAAACTTTCCTCCCTGTTAAGAAGTCAGCCCTGGACGACAAAGTCTTTCTTCGCAGCAACCAAGAGAGGTGCCAGCAGTACAGCTGTTTCTGCTTAAGTTTAAATACT